AAAGCAGGAGATACGGTCCACTTCTGAAAGACTCTGGGAGTGTAAGATCTGAGGTATCATGTAGCGAGTAGAAAAGAATAGAAATGCCCTGGGGAGGATTTCCAAGGAGGAAAACTTAGTAGCAGCACCCTAGAATTTCATTAGCTCTCAGTCTTTATCATGTGTGGAATCCTACACTATTTTATGTGCTGCTAAGAGAGAAATAATAGCACCATTATTGCAATAGGCACAGACGACAAGATGTATCCAAATTTCTGAGATAAAAAATGTGAAGAGTATGTATCTTAGCTCTGATGAGAGGGGGCAGATGAGGTGGCTCGGAGGGTAAAGGCACTTGTTGCCAAGCCTGAAAATTTGAGTTTGATCCCAGAGACCCACATGGTAGAAGGAAGAACCGACTCTTGCAAGCTGTCCTTTGACCTTCACATGTGCTCTGTGGCATGTGCTCACACTCACACAATAAAGAAATACATGTAATTAAGTGAATTAATTAAGTAATATAATTAAATTAAAAAATGGGAGGTAGAAACCGTGATGGATATTTTAAGAACAAAGGAATTTAACGTGGGGAGTTAAGTGACTTTGACATCACGGGAGGGTTGGACTAGCAGGCACTGCTGGATGCTGATTACACTTTCCAACCTTAGTAACCCACATCGGTAAGGATTTGGAGCAGTCAGCTTTGCTGACACTGTCCAGGTCTTTACCCTGGATGCCTAGAGTCTGGCACCAAATTACGGTAGTCAGAGGCTTATAAAGGCAAACCCCACAAGGCTGTGTACTTCCCAACCCTGCCCAATGCGGGGCAAACATACATCCTGACGGGCTTTCTGCCTACATACCTCCCACCTACGTGTGATCAAGCACATCCTGTACAGTTTACAGACGTGAAAGCACATGGCTTGCTTTCTTATATGAAGAGCAGCCCCCAGCATTTCAGGAAATTACCTGTTTTTGTGCAAATGTGGCTTACAGGTTAGAGGCATTTTTGTTTTATCTCTCTCTCTCTTTAAGATTTATTTCTTTATTATGTATATAATATTCTGCCTGCATGTACACCTGCATACCAGAAGAGGGCACCAGATCTCATGTGGTTGCTGGGAGTTGAACTCAGGACCCCTGGAAGAGTAACTAGTGCTTTTAACCTCCTTAGTCATCTCTCCAGCCCTGTTTTATAGATCCCCTAAGCACAGTAATTTAAACTTAAAACACAATGTTAGACTTTACAGTGGCCCTGAATGGGTCAAGGTCAGTTCACACTTTTCTTAGTTACTTCTGTTGCTATGATAAGATACCTGACAACAATAACTTAAGGAAGAAAAGATTTATTCTGGCTCATAGTTCACAGCAAAGTCCTGTGTGGTGGGCAAGGTGGCTTTGAAGCTTGGAACAGCTGCTCACATCAGATCCACAATCGGGAAGCAGAGAACAATGAATGCCTGCTGCTGTTCAGCCCCTTAACACACTTCCACAATCCAGGTCCCAGCCAGGGAATGGTGCTGCCCACAGTGGGTGGGTCTTCCCCCTTCAGTTAAAGTAACTAAGGCAGTCCTATACAATCATGCCCTGAGGTCCTTCTCCCAGCCTAGCAAGTAGACAATTGAGATGAACTGTCACTGTGGTTTTGAAGCTTGGTCTATTTATCTAGACACTGGGGTCTTACATCTTCTGCCTTGCAGGATTATATGAGTTCATTTTCTCAGGAAGTAATAGATTTTCGTGAAATCCTGTTTATTGGAATTTGTGCATGTACCTGGCTCTCCCACTAGATCTTAAGTGTATTGGGACACTATGCCTGACAAATAGATGTTGAAAAGTCAAGGGCCTAGGTGGGTACAAACCAGGGCTAGAGACTACTACCTATCCTGTTCCTTGCTCTCCTCTCATCTCGCTCTTTGCCAGAGGCAGTATGTTCCTGTGCTACTGTAATTAATAAGCATACCCAGTGGCTTTGTTCCAGATGAATCAAAGCCCTTCTCAAGCTTTACCTCATTTTCTCCCCTTGGTCTGGGAGAGGCAAATTGCTAGTTAGCCTAGGATGACTGTTCCCACTCTACAGATGAAAACAAGGACAAGGACTCAAGAACTGACTCCCGGGAGGAGTGATCACAGCCTGCCAGGGAAGCATTGCTTCCTAATGACTATATTCTCTGCTTGGGTTTCTCGGATGAAGTTTCTACTATGAAGGAAGATGGTACTAACCTCTACTCATTTTCCCAAAGTGTCTCCGATTGTTGACTTCTTCATGCCTCTGTGTAGAATTGCCAGGACTACAGGGGCTCTCAGAACTGAGCAAGGGAAGCCTGGGCCCTGACTATGTGGCAAGCCAATGCAGAGTCTACACACCAAATTGTAGTCTTCTTTGCTGGGAATTTACTGTTCACACTGCCTAACCTTCATACGAGTCGCTGGCTTGATCCTCCATGGCCCCTGCACTAGGAATCTCATGACTAAGCTATGACCCTTTTCTGTTCACTGCTGTACCATGCTGAAGGGGTTTCTCTGTAGGAATTGCCTCTATGTTCTGAGGCTGGGTATAAAGCGGATGCGAGAAGAACATCCAAAAGCAGATTCAGGGAACATGAATCCCTTGTATGAAATGTATGAATCCCTTTCAAAATGTATGAAAAACATACAATTTCTGCCTAAGGGTAGGGTTTCCTTAAATATTAATTAGTTGAGAATCTTTGGTGAATACTCTCAGCCCAGGCTCAAAGTAAATGTTTGAAAATATTTGTTAGGATTGTAGAGATTGGTTTTTTTGTTTTGTTTTGTTTTGATTTCTTGAGACAGGGTCTCACTGTATAGCTCTGGCTATCCTGTGGTTCACTATGTAGACCAGACTGGCATTGAATTCACAGAGATCCATCTGCCTCTGCCTCTCGGGTGCTGGGATTAAAGGCATGCGCCACCAAGACCAGCTGTAGAGGTATTACACTCTTTTTTCCCCGAGCTCAGTCCTTAATTTCCAAAGCTCAGCAGGTTGGGACTGATCACTGGTCTGGCGGTTCCTGTTCTTCACACCAACCTATCAACTCATAGACTGTGTTGAAGGTCTCCTATGTCCTAGGAGTTGCATCCCAACTGATGGTATTTCAGACATGCTGTCACCATGGCGGCAGCTTGGACCAGTCTCCTGCCACGCTCTGAACTAGTAGGACTTCTCAGCATGCGTGGGTGGTGTTGGAGGTGTTGGCAACAGTCTTGGAGCCTAGCCACAGCAAAGTAGCACTTAACTGAGAGCCACCCGACTCTCAGAAGCCACGAGCTCTGGAATACACTCTATTCCCACCTTGGAACAGTCCAGGCACTGTTGCTGACTTTACTGTGCTTTAAGGTCAGCCAATTGTCAAGCCAGTGTGAAGCAGCAACCTTTCTCCTGCACGCCTATAGTGAGGTTAGGGGAACACTAACAAGTAAATCCCATTCCAAGCACGTGTGTGTGTACATGTTTGTGCAGAATGGCTTTTACTCAAAGCATTCTGACCACAGAGTTTTGCTGTGGGACTTCACCCTCATGAGATGTGTGAATCTTGAGGCCTTTTTGCTGACAAATATTCATCAAGAGCTCACCTTGTGCCTGTGTTTCTGTCAGGGTGTATACAGAAAGCAGATGCCATGAGAAGATTTGTTGAGGAGGGTTTATATGAGGCTGTTTAGGAAGGTGTGGGGTCGGAGCCACACAGGGCGAGGCAGTAACTTTGGCTCTGAGGCAGCCATTATAGTATCTGCTCTGGCAATGGCACAGTTTCAATAGCATGCTCTCATTGCGTACTTGTGGGAAGCCCAGGGAGCAATGACCTTCAGCTAAGGGACCTACCTTAGTGTGTCTTTGCTGGGAAGACATCAGAAGAAACACCACCTTCTTTAGCTGACTTTCCCTTTTCCTTTCAGTTCTCAGGGTCCCCCATGGACCAAACTCCACAGATGCTTGGGAGCAGGGGGATAGGCAGATCAATTGTTTTGTGGGTCAGCTATATGGACAGATAGGGAAGAAGCTCAAGCAGGTGTGGGTACTTGGAGTATTGAGTGAAGCCCAACGTTAAACTGCATACTGGGTAATGACTCAGATTTTTGTGGGGACTAAAGCTCATATAATGTTTTAAGATCCACTTTAAGAAATAACACAGGCCGGGTGGTGGTGGCTCATGTCTTTCATCTCAGCACTCAGGAGGCAGAGACATGTGGATCTCGGTTAGAGGTCAGCCTGGCCTACAAAGCAAGTTCAGGGCAGCCAGGGCTACACAGAAAAACCCTGTCTCAAAACACCACACACACACACACACACACACACACACACACACACACACACACTCACAAAACAAAAAACAAAAACAGCAATAACAACAACAACAAAAGAAGTGGTTGGTGTCAGGAGTAATGACACACTCTTAAAACTCAGCACTTGGGAGTCTGAGGCATGTAGATGTCTGTGAGTTCCAGACTGGTCTACATAGTGAGTTCTAGGATAGCTAAAATTACATAGTGAGACCTTGTCTTAGAAAACCAACCAACCAACCAACCAACCAACCTTAAGTTGGAAAAACAATAGCAAGAATACCATCAAACCCAAAAGCTTCCTCAGAGCTTCAGAAGATCCAAAGTGTGGCTTGAAGCCCATGCTTACAGCCTTTAGGACGATGGAGACTGTGAAACAGAGCAAAGTGACATTAGCGAAGAGCAGCCTAAATACTGTGGAGGGTTCAGTAAACGCCGAGACGTGCTTCGAGAATTTGAAATAAGTCTCTTTGGCTACTCGCTTAATGAATCAACCTACAGTGAGCGTTGGTAATGTTTATTTCGGTTCTCATGGCTTTGACAGGACTCTGGACCAGCTCCGAGGCTCAAAGACTACAATTCCCAGCATGGAGAGAGCATAAGGACCACAACTCCCGGCATGCCCGTAGAGGTGGCGGAGAAGCGTGGCCTTCCTCTCGCCCCGCCTCTCCCGGCGCTCGCAGCCAATGAGAAGGCTCCGTACTGGAGGGTGTGAAGGGGGACAGTGTTTTGGGCAAGTTGCGTTTTGAGGGAAGCGGCGGGAAGTTCGTACTGCGTTGTGGACCGCAAGTTGGCCGTTCTAGGTAGGGAGCCGGCGGGTGGCGGCTGGACGGTGGATTCGGCATCGCTTCGGAGCGGCGCTTGCTCGTTCGGGTCTGGTGCGGCGCCGCGGCTGGGTCCGGCCTGCGGGGGAATCCTCGCTTCTTAGCCCGCTCGCGGAGCTCCCGGAAGCCCGGTTCTAGAAGGCCGCCCAAAGCCTGGCTCGGGCCAGGGTCGTGGACAAGGGGTGACAGGGACCTGGCCGGCCGAGCCTGAGGTGATGCGGCGAGGCCTCGGGGCGCACGTGCGGCCCGCCAGCTTCTCGCCGCCTCTGGTCTCCACTGCAGGGACACTATTTCCCAGCGCAGCTTCTTCGAAGACAGACTTAGGTTTCCTCCAGCGCCAAAGTTTGTTTTGAACCGTTTGCAGCCCAGATAGCCTTAAACTATTTACTGGAGTAAAATGCTCCAGTCTTTGAGAGACGAGAGTGACGGACACGCTAGTTCTGATGAGGTTCCTTGATTTTCCTATTGTCTTATCTTTGAAGTTAACCATTCTTTATGCGTGTATGGAGTCTTCCTTTCCCTCCTCCATTGCTCTCGGAAGAATTTGGAAAGACGATTTTGCCGTCGGCGTGGTGGTTAAACTTAGGGGATCGTTGAAGAGCTTCATTAATTAATGCCTTTCTCTCTCTAAACTGGAACTGCCTATCTGTTGAGTCTGGAGATCAAAACAGTAAAAAAAAAAAAAAAAAAAAAAAAAAATGTAGAGCACTTTTTGTGACGTGTTGATTATAATGTTTTGGGGAAATTTAATTTACAATTATGATTGGAATTAAATTTCTGGGCAGTTAAGATAATGTTCATGCACCTGTAGAAAGGAATGTAAGTTGACCTCACTTAATAATGGCTTTCCCTGTTGTGCTACGACAGATGGCAGGCACTGCGACTCAGCATTGCCGATGGAGGCCTTGCTAACACAGTAACATGGTTGAGTTCAGTGTGTGTTAGGCGTTAGGGATTCCGGTACAGTGCCAGTATCCAGTACAGATATCACTTTGATAACTGTAATGGCTGCTGCTGATGCTCAGCGTTGCAGAAATGATGGGAGTCTTAACTTTTTAAGCAAATGAGATGACGGGGTTGATGTGTTAAACAGGGAGCCTGGCATCTAGTAAGTTATCGAGTGCCCAGGAATGGTTATATGGAAAGCTTATGCTGAGTCTTACTGAAGGACGGTGCGTATATTTTAAAAATAACAGCAGTGCTTTTAAAATGTTGACAGGCCCTAAAATTAAATTCCTTACAGGAAATAGGCCAGCTTTTCTTAATTTTGAGAACAAACATGAAATAGTAAGTGAATGTCCCAGATATCTAGAAAAGACAAAGATGTAAATTTTGACCTTTTTTCCTTAAAGACATCCATAATAGACTATGAATAGGATTTGATTTGGGAAAAACAAACAAACAAACAAAAAAAAAAACCACCTTAAAATATTTTTGATTTGCAAAACAAACATTTGAAGGTGGGATTTAGGGCTGGAGAGATGGCTCAAGAGGTTGAGTACAGTCCTCTTCCAAAGGTCCTGAGATCAATTCCCAGCAATCATATGGTGCCTCATAACCATCTGTAATGATATCTGGTGCCCTCTTCTGGTCTGCAGGCACACATGCAGGCAGAATACCGTATAAATAATAAATAAATCAAAAAAAAAAAAAAAAAAAAAAAAGGAAGTGGGATTTACCTCACATCAAATGAAGAAGGATGACTCCCAAGTTTATGCAAATAATGAAAGGCTCTTGTCTCCAACATCAGGTAGCGAGCTGCAGGGAATTGAAGTGTTGCCCTGTGAGAGTGAAATGAGGCTGTGGGGAAGTTGGTCTGGATGGGGCCATGATGGGCTTGGAGCATGTTTTAGACTGGTAGGGCAGTTTGCATGCTTGTCAAGGCTTTTTTTTTTTTTTTTTTGTTTTGTATTTTTCAAACAGGGTCTCATGTAGATCAGGCTGTCCTGGAACTCTCTCTGTAGACCAGGCTGGTCTCAGAAGAGATCTGCCTGCCTCTGTCTCCCAAGAGCTGGCATTAAGGGCGTGCATCACCACTGCCCGGCTGTCAAGGTTCTTTTGAAGTGTGAGAGGACATGGACTGATTCATTCACCTGAGACCACATGGCTACTGCTAAGTGTAAAACCTGTTCTTGTTATTATACCGTTTTATTGAAGCAATAGGATGTGAGGCGTTCAGGAGGGTGGTAACTCCAGCAACCAAGCCTCTAGCTCAGTGGTGAAACTTTTGGCCCTTCTTTCTTCGACTGTGTTTGCAGTTGTCACTAGAAAGCCGTAAGGGCTGCCAGTGCCAATCAAGATTCCCTCTGAGAATGGTATCCGGGCCAGGTAGAGTAAAGTAGTGTGGTGTGCTTTCCTGATATTCTTGCTGCACTTCTGACTGTTGCCGGAAATCTTTGTACTTCATCTCAAGTGCATCGTTCTTCTGGGTGGTATATATGTAGTGCTTGACTTTTATTAACTTAGTTTTAGTTTTTTGAGACAGGATCTTACTGTGTAGTCTAGGGTGCCCTAGAGCTCACTGTGTATTCCAGGTTGGCTAGAGCTCACAGCGGTCTTCGTGATTTACCCAAGTGCTGAGTTCTGTGTGTGTGGTGGTGGGGGCAGTATGCGTGCCTTGCCTGGCTAGGCTGTGCTTTAGCTCTTCAGAGCCTAGGGAAAGGTATGAGATGTGTCCTGACTCAAGAGTAGATATTAAATTTGTCAACAAGTACTAAGTAACGACAAGGACATTTTACTGCCATTCTTTAATAGACTTAATAATTTCTTTAGGTGCAACGTGTTTGTCAACTTGGAAAAATTGACGTGGTGAGCCATATTTAGTGTTCAGGTAAGGTAGTCATGTGTCACTAAATAGCTAATGTTTGGACATAGATATCAGACAGACTGTGTGGCTGTCTCAGTGTGCCTATATTAGCCGGATTGTGTGGCTGTCTCAGAGTGAGCTTATGCTGACAGACTATGTGGAATTGTAAGAGTATGTGTGGAAGTCTTTACTCCCATCACTGGGGAGGCAGAGGCAGGTAGATCTCTGCGAATTTGAGCCAGCCTAATCTACACAGTGAGTTCCAGACCAGCCAGAGCTACATAGATGAGACTATGTCTCAGAAAAACCACCACCCCAACAACAAACCCCCAACAGGTATGCTTATACAGCCTGACTGCAGACACAACAGAATGTGCTTATGCAAATTAACTTCAGACATCACAGTACACTTATACAGATTGACTGCCACCCGTGCCTCTGGGTGACATCGTTCTATGGGACCTCTGTACTCAACGACTGACAAGTTGTTAGGTTCCTGGTGACTGCATTTTGATGGTCAGCTGCTGTCTTTCTATGGGTGTCTGGTCCAAAGGATGGGAACTTGTGCTCTAGGATTTAAAAATTAAAATGGACATGCATTTATAGTAGTACTAAATATGTATATGAAAATCAGTGTATCACTAAGTCACATGGATTAAGTAGGAAGGTACAATTAAATGGAAGTCATATAATTAAACGGCAGAGTAATTAGTTTGAAGTTTTCGAATGTTCTGCCGGGTACAAGTAGCTATCACACTGACACTGGAAGGAAGCACTCTTGACAGAGTGCAGTATTAGGAACGAATGGTGCGTGGGAACTAACAAACAAGGGTCTTGTAATTGCTGTCTCTGAATCAGATTTCTCTCCAGGCTGGCTGGCTGCTATTGGTGAGCAGATACGTCTCCTCTAGACTTAGCTTCTTGTTTTAAGAACCTCAGAGAGACCACATTATGTGTCCACATTATGTGGATTTTACAAAAGACTAAAAAATTCAGACTTTGAAACCTTATAGCCAGGAAAATGACAGCTTTTGAGGTTGCATTTCTCAAGTTATTTTACCAAGTTTGTTCTGAACAAGTACTGTTGTTTGGCCGTGCTCTGTCTTGCTGCTTTGTGTGCTAGTCTCAAGGTACCGAGTACTTAGAAAGTGCTGCTACCCTTTAGTCCTCACAGACTGTGTTCTGGAAGAAGAGAAACTTACTACTCTCGTTGTAGACAATCAATACCCCCTCACCACCCTCCCAGTTTTTTGTTTCATATAGCACTGGCCATCAATGCGTAGATTCTGTGTAATTATAATTTCTCTGTTAGAGGTAATGAGAAAGTCTTTTTAGACATCTGAAAAGTTTTAACATTTTTGTTTTTGTTTTTTGAGACAGGGCTTCTCTGTGTAGCAGCTCTGGCTCTCCTGGAACTCACTCTGTAGACCAGGCTGGCTTTGAACTCACAAAGATCTGACTGTCTCTGCCTCCCAAGTGCTGGGATTAACGGCTTGTGATATCACTGCCCAGCTTTAAATTATTATTATTTTTTTTTGCAAAAACTGAATTTGGGTTATAATGCTTAAGAGATTTGTTTTTTTCAGGATTACATAATATATTTCAGAAGTCATGACTTGGAAATTTATCTTCTTAGAACTTGCTGGCATGTCTGTAAAATGTATAGATATAGATACTCTAAAGTTAATTTGGCAGTTTTTCAAAAATTTAAATATAGACTTAACATACAACCTCACAGTTGCACTCTTGGACATTTATCCTAGATAAATAAAAACTTGCATTCATACAAAAACCTGCTCATTAATACTCATAGACATTTTATTATAGCCCCAAGCCAGAAAGAACTCAACTTCAGGATGACAGAGAAGAAAAATGTGTTGTGGCTGTACAGTGGAGCCCCATGCACCAACAAAGGGAGTAGCTGTTAGTGCATACAACAGTTTGAATGGAGCTCACAGACTTTGTGCTGAGTGCAAACGGCTAACTGAAGGTCAGATTCAGGAGCACAGCCAGGAGGTAGAGGGGTGGGAAGAGACTTCTCTGCAGGGGCCAGAGCACTGCAGTTAGTTTGCAAAGCCAGATTTTCCCCAAAGAAAAAAGGGGCTTTTTTTTGTTGTTTGTTGGTTTCTTTCCTTTTTTGAGACAGGGTTTCTCTGTGTAGTCCTGGCTGTCC